TAAAAAAAATGAAGCAAGTAACAAGCAAATTATCACTTGTAAAGTCTATTTACCTTTATTACGTTACCTAAATCAAACCTGTATTTTCATTAGAGTTATCGAATGCCTTTCATAAGGCTTCGTACTTTGCTTCTAGAATAATCTTTGATTTTCGCAAACAGTCCGCTACTTGTTAGTAGAGACTGGAGCGGTATAACAACAAGGGTGACAGCTATTGATTGTAAAAACGCACTTCGGACGGTTTAAATCAATTACGATCACGAAGGGGACCCTATCAACTAGAAAATGTTACTAAAACTGGATACGGACAGGGTATAAGATATTTATCTGTGTTGTTGAATCTTTCTGCATTTTCTGCAACAAAAAAGCAAAAAAAAGAAAACGGTAACGATGTAGGATATTTCGTATGGATATTATATTATTTAAAAGTAATAGCATTTATCTCTATTTACTAAAGGTAATTGAATTTTACTACTGCTTAAGAGAACATTTATTCAATGTCAATATTTATTAGAGTAAAGAATATTCCAGAAGTTTGCACTTTTAGCCTTTAAATTAAACAATTGTTATGAAATCAAACGAACCATTTATCGAACTACAAACTTAATTATACTAAGCACAGATAAAAAACACCTGCGCGGCGTCAGAACTCAATAAATCCCGTAGCATACTTAAAGCGATCATCGCTCGAGCGACGCCGGTGTATCATAACACGGGGATTTTGTCTTAAGCCGCGTTAATTTCCCCCCCTCCCCGCCCCCGCGACCCCTCGTGCCCAGCCGCGGTCCGAGCGCACGTCAAATACAATTTTCCGCTACGCTGAGCTCTGAGCCGATTGTGGGAGACACGAGACAAGCCTGCCGGAGCGATGTCGTAGATGTAGTCAGTGATGGAGGAGGTATGTTTGTTACTATAATATAGCGACTGACATTTTTGTCATATTGTCAGAAAGGTAAATGTGCGTTCTAATTTAACTCTGTATCTTAGACAGATTTTATAAGAGTGAGGTGACATTTATTTACTTTCCGCCACAGATTTTTTGGATTTCAGTATTATGATTACTATCGCGATATCCAATCAATGGTACAAGCGTAGGCTATTGGTATTTTATAGTCTATATAAATATACAAAATAATGTTCGGTCAATATTGGACCTCCAAAGTTTACTATATCCATGTTCGTAATACAAGCGGTCACGTATTGGTTAAAGGGTAGGCAGGCGAACTCTCGCGGATTAGAGCCGTGGCTTATAAGCAATGTTACGCCTCTAACACAAACAATAGCCATGGAACACCACCCTAATAATTTAATTTCAAATCGTGATAGTGGAATTTTCAATTTCAAATATTGTTTATTTCCATTTTACACTTATTTTATTAATTTATCTTAACAAGATACGGTTATCACCAATTATATCACGATGTAAACTTTACCTTTACATAAACTGACTTAACCTGAAACTGAAAAATTCCCATGTTACTAGAAAAGTATGGATACATTAACTTTACTACTAACTTACCAACATATTAAAAATTTAAATCACTAAAGGAATCGTTAAAGATTATAATAATAGACTTTATACAATGCCAATGTATCAAATAACAATAACGAAATATCTGGCAGATTAAAAAAAAAAGAAAAAAGCATTTCATACAAACTCGTCGCAGCGTAAAACGAATCGGCTTACTACGGGAACGAAAATAATTTTATTTTATATTTCAATAACAGATAATCAGATAAAGGTTTTAATTCTTCGGTAAAAAATAATAGTTGATAAGTTTGTTGGTTTGTTAGTTGTGGGAATAGAACACTTGTGCCGGGGTTTGATGATGAAATTGCGGACAGGTCGAGTGGCACAAATTCTGCGGCTTAAAATAGAAAATTATATTATACATTATTATAAATCATTGCTTATTAATTGCATAATTAGACCATATAGAGTCGAAAATTTCTAAAATATAAAATTTTAACTTAAAATTTTTATAAGCAAAGCAAAACAAATTAGTCAAATTTTTGAAATACCGTGCTGTGAAACTTTTACCTGAGTTAGAAAAAACCTATGGTTTATACTATTTCTAGCATATAAAAGAAAACAAACCGTCACATTATTTTAACAAATACCCAGGAAAGAAGTTTTTTCAAGAATTAAATGTACTAATGCTATGTTGGAGACATCCTAACTAAAGAGCACTTGAGACAGCTAATGTGCGCGACTCGGGAGTCGGGAGTGGCCAATGAGCATTATGTAAGCAGTTTATCTCCGGGCAACGGTCAGTTCCGCTAAGTCCAAGCTTCGAACAATTCAACGAGAAGATTCCAGCGTTCGCCGCTCGTTTGTGGCACGTGAAGAGGCTATTAATGCGATTGAGGACTTTTATAACACACGATTAGGGCTGACAATTATTAATAAAAGATTATTTTTTAAGATTTTGCTAATCTGGTTAGTTAAATTTAATACTACAATAAACTATAAAGCGTCATGAGATTAACGTTTTACATTTAATACGTTCCATTCATGTTTATTTATCTATTTAGCTGTAATTTCTGTCACAAGTAGCTTACAATACTTTGATCGCCGACCCATCGTGCGTGTGATAAGGCCAAAGAGATAATAAGTTGCCATGTTATGCTTACTACATTTTTGTCGTAAGGTGTAAATGTCTTTCTTGTAGTCAGCGGCAATATATCCGCTTTTGGTAAGTGTCCGCACGTTAGTCCGGCCCTGCACACCCCTACAATACAGATTTGCTCAAGTTTGTACATCTCAAGCGGCCCGACTAACCACATCAATTACTTATCAGGTGTTTGTCTTTTATTTGTTGGAGACAAAATACAAATTATTTTTAAGATACATACAGTTTTCTTCCTAAATAATCAAGGCAATATTAGACAAGGAATTATTCTTTTGGATTTTTCACGTAGAAGGTTTATGTGTTACTAAAAGCTAAGGAAAACTTACAGCCGCGTTTGTAACGAAGGAATGATGGATTCAGAATTCAAAGATGGCGGTCTCGGAGCCAACATTGAATATTGATTGCACAAAAGGCATTCGCCGTCAAAGCGTATTTTCCATTTTCGATTCAAAATTATTCGGAATCGAACGATTCCTTTTGATGGTGCAAAATATGTAAGTAGCCTAAATCGTCACTCAATTTCTAAGGCGGCGTTATAACGTATATGTTGTGTGTACGGCTCGGGCTGTCGCTTACTGTCCTTTCCTACATATCATAATTCATCATACTCGTTGATTTACCTGAGTGTAGTTTGATTTCTTAATTTTATTTATATGTTTGAAGTACTGATTATATTAAAATACCTATAAAAATATCCTGATTTTAGTTTGCTTTGTCTCATTGTTTTATGAATTAAAACTTGAAAGAATTATTTGGTAACATTTTTTTTGGTTAGACGCGTATTTTTTTTATTCCTCTGTAATGAAAACATTTATGTAAGTGTGAAATCATCCTTAATATTTTAACCTTTCCTATGTCTCTTTCAAAGTGTCATTGCATCTCTTTCTCGCGCGAGGTACGGAAATTCAAATTTGTCGGGTCGGCTCGCCTTTCCGTTGGAGATTTTCATGTATAATGAGCCTTTAAAGGTTGCAATCAATGAAAATTGCAAAAATTCCCGATGTGTTTGAGTTTGCCAAATAGTATTCTAATGTTCTTTTTATTTTTTGTTCAAACTTTACTCTTGTGAACCTTTGCTAACGAGCGAATATAGATCTACTCGAATCTTTACAGCTTATAGATTAGTATAACTATAATCTTTTATTTTCTTGAGCCTAATGTAGACTTTTGTCTTTCTTTTTGTAATCCAAGTACTCGTATAACAGAAAACAATAAAGCAAAATGAGATAATTGGTGTACCGGTTCTTATTTTTATACTTTGTTATTTTCTATTTCTGTTGTTTTTTTAATAGCATAAGTGGGATTCTACTTGATATTTTTTGCCACATTCGATATTTGGAGGAATCCCTAATCTAATAGTAAAACTAAAACTTTGTGTAGCGACATTGCATAAATAAGAAAAACCTTTAATGTTACGTCAGTCCCAGCGTTAAATGCCATCTTGTATTTCAAAGTTATATTTTTTGAAGTAAAAATTAAAATCAAAACGACACAGTTTTTAATTTATATACTAGATGTCTCTTTTGGTAAAAGCCGCCATTACGCCATTTATCTACTATAGCGCACTGCCCTTTATTACCATGAATAGCGACATCTGTTGACATGAACAAATAATACTAAATTTGATTTATTTATTTCGATACACGATAAGAGATGTCACTAGTAGTAGCGGTTACGTCAGAAAACTTTAGCTCGAACAGCGACATCTGTTGACATTAATAAATAATACTACATTTGATTTATTCATTTCTGTACACGATAACAGATGTCACTAGTAGTAGCTTTGTCTTCAAAAAATGTTAAATTATAGAGTACGGCCCGTGATTACCACGAAAAGCGACATCTGTTGACATTAATAAACAATACAACATTTGATTTATTCATTCATTTCTATACACGATAAGAGATGTCACTAGTAGTAACGTTAACTTCAGAAAAGTTTAACGATATAAAATAACTAACTTTATAGGATCAAAAAAATATGTTAATACAAATATCGACACACTTATATACGAAATTATGTTAATAGTCTGTATAGGATATAATATTGTGTGAGTTTTCATTTTATAACATAAATATGTACTTAAGTAACATAAAATTGAATTAAGGAACTAATATTTTCTTTACTAATATTACCAACTGTTATTAGCACTATGTGAATTTAACAGAAACTCTTCCGAGTCAATCCGTATGGTTCACACGCTTTTTTCACAACACAATGAAACGTAAATTCAGTTAATTAAAGTTAAAAAGCTTAATTACACCATTATTATCGAGTGGGACTCATCACTCAGTTCCCGTATGGCTGTATGGCACACATAGAATTATTTAGTGTTGATTTTCGATGTGTATAGAAAAATAAAAGCCGGCCGGCAGTTTGGCACCAGCGCTCGAAGGGAGAGGGCGTGTTGCTCCGTACACTGGAAAGCGATGTAACACGAGGAAGTTGTTTTATAAAATAAAATATAAAATGTTAACGATTAACAAGACATTAGTGCAAATTTAAACAAGGTTTTGTGAAAATTTCAACGTAATTTTTATGTGAATTTTAATAGTGATGTGCTTTGAAGTTAACGTTTTCGCGATTTTTCTTTTAATTGCTACTTTCGTTGGGAAAGTGAGAAATGGAGGTAAGGAATTAATTTAATATAAAAATACAGGAAATAATAAAACAACAATAAAAACAATCTACTTAGATACAGTCAAAGATTCTATGATCCTTTTAAGCCAGGATTTAGGAAGGGCTATCCCCATTTCACCGAGATTATTAGACCTTTAATTTGATTGTAAGTCGTTACCCTGACCATTAGGAAGGGTGTAAAATAACCTAATGCCCTACGTAATTTAATCAAAGGTTTTATGCGAACATAACCGTGAACAGCTTAAGGAAGAAACTCATATCACTTTTCGTATATTTATCGAGTTTATTAAATTCTTTAGAACATTAGTTTGCACTGTTTAGTATTTTATTATCATGTAAATGTTATCTATTTACTTACAGTTGCACTTGAAAAACCTTTGAAAATTTCTCTTATATTTTTCATAAATTCAGTTGGAAGTCTGCTAGGGATTCTTAAATATAAATTCAGGATATATTCTCCCGCTGACACGTCCATAAAGGATTCCTTCATGTTAACAGACAGGCGACAACGCGGGACTTAACATGAAAGCTCTTCCCGAGACGCAGTCTAGACAATGTGAAACAAGCTTTTAATGGTATATTAAAACTATTAAGAGTATATAGAAACATCAATAACACTAAAAAAATCACAGGAAATCATTGTAAACTAGTCTTGATATTGGAGATCTCCCAATCAACTATCTATACTATTATAATAAAGCGTAAATACACATTTCTTCGTTGCCTAAGATGTCAGCATGTTTTTTAATATTTTTTTGAATAAAAAGCCCTGTATGCGCGTCACGTTTTAGGCTATATATTTTAACGCCATTAAACTTTGGATAAAAACCCTAATGTGGGAAAGAGACCATAAGTTGCTGCCAACATCGAGGAAGCAAGGTTGTCATCATGTCATGTTATTATGACGTTTGTAATTGATAATTTGACAAATGTAAACAATAAAACATTTATTTATAATTTCATGCGGATGAAGTCGCACGGGAACAGCTAGTACTCGTATAAAGTTGGGTCGAGTGGTAGTCCGTAAATATCAAAAGTAACAGAACGTTTTCATTGCCAATTTATCAAAACAAGATGACAAATCTCACGAATATCCGTAATAGGGTTAAACAATAAAAATGGACATAATTTTGTCTCTGCATTTAATCTTATCTTACTAATATTATAAATGCGAAAGTTTAGATGGATGGATGGATGGATAGATGGATGGATGGATGTTTGTTATGTTAGCGTTTGTAGCCTAAACGGCTAAACGGATCTCTATGAAATTTGGCACAGGTTAGAGCATAGTCTGGAAGAACACACAGGCTACTTTTTATCCCGGGAATAGTTACGGTTCCCGTATGATTCATTAATTTAATTTTTTAATGCTTACTCGATCATTCTGCAACGGTTCAACATATCTTATTGAAATTTGGCACAGATATAAATCAAAGTCTGGAGTACACATGAGATAAGCTTCATCCCCGAGAAATGTCCGGTTCCCGAGGGATACGTAACTTTTTGTAATTTATTTAGTTTGTATGTTTTCTAATACCACGCGGACGAAGTCGCGGGCAACAGTTCGTTAATTTATATAACTTTATATTATAGAGGATGAAGGATCAAAAATAATTTCGGACGCTTGTCATAAGACGTCGGATGTAGCCGTAGAGCGAAGACATTCATATTAATCTACGAGCTGTTTGCTTCATTAAAGAAATCTCTCTTAAATTCTGTTGACTGCTTCCTGTATTTCGTACTGGGTGGTCTTTAACATCTATAGAATTACATTTCATACTCATACTATTATTATATCGTTCATGCTCATGGTTACTTAGGGTCTTTAGTAGCAAATTAACATCGCTTAGGGACTTACAGTATAGTGTACGAGTTAGAATTTTTAACGTCATTGTAGTAGGTATCTATTTCCCCTATTTTATGTCACTTTTCATAGGTCTGCCGTCCTCACTGATATTTTGATATAGGTAGAGTTGATTGTCAACATTTAACGCAGTGCTTTTGTACCTGTAATTAATTTAAACACAGGTGCGTCTTAAGTCTTTTCAAGAGGACCTTTAAAGGTCAAACTACGCAGTCGGATGTATAAAACATTCATTTATGCCAATTAGTTGCGGACATTTTGAACGGATATCGTTTATTAAGTAATTTAAAATGCTAATAAGCTGAACACTGGATCTTTGAAGCAAATTGAGGATCTGTAGGTATTTTTAGGTTGCCTTTTTGAAATAAGGAACACAGTTTAGGGTTGTTCATATCTTTGCCAACAAAACTTACTAATTACGTGAAATAATATTTTACAGCTCTTAGGGCCTGTCCCACCAAATTGTAAATTGTCTTATAACAATCGAATGTGTAAAATATGTGATGGAAATATCGGATTTTGTTCCTTTATCTGACAGTGACATTTTAAGCTATCTGAGCCTCTATCAGCCAACGGTGGGACAGGCCCTTATTGTTTTAAAGCATGTTGAAGTAACAACATAGTTTGTATTTAATATAATTGTTGTTCACAGGTCCAGAACACACCACACAGAAGGAAACGCGACCTGAATATATCCATCCGGACGGTCTGCTCAACTTCGACCCTTACCTCTCCGATTTCAAGCCTGAGGTAGAGGAAGACGATTACATACCTCTCCCAGAAAACGACGAAACAATCGACGGTCTACCGATCTTCCTTCTAGAACCAAAGAACTCTTACGTATTAAGAAGTAAGCCAGCGACGCTATTATGTAGAGCAGCGAATGCTCTGCAGGTTTACTTCAAATGTAATGACGTAAGAGTTGATAAGACAGTTCAGTTGGAGCACGTGGACCCTCAGAATGGAGTACGTGTGGTGGAGGCGGAACTAAACGTGACGAGGAACGAATTAGACGAATACTTTGGTGGTCGGTACAGCTGTGAATGCTACGCGTGGAATAGTAGAGGCAGGATAAGGAGTCAGGCGAACTATATTGAATTTGCTTGTAAGTAAATATTGAATTTAGGTTATTGCCCGAATGTTTGTTCCGTAGCGTATAAAGTTTTGATTCTTATTATTTCTTGAAGTTGTATAGAAGTAAAGGACAATAGGTTTTCTTCGTAGTTTAATTACTTTGTCAATTATGATTGCTTTAGTTATTTGATTTATGAGGATTTGTATTGAATATAGAGTAGGCATAAAATTTAGTACTTCTTCGGACAAGTCCTAGTTTCAAACTGTCTGTATTCATTTCGTACAATTAAAATATGTTACGACCATTTGACTGGTGAATTGAGCTATTATATGGAATGCGGTCATGATCCCAAATAGACCATTTTAATAATCTGTCACTTAAACTGAAATTAATATCGCTTGATTATCATCATCATCATCATCACCATCATCACCAGCTCACTTATATGTCCCCACCGAGTGGCTCGGAGCCTACCCTAATAAGGGGTGACTAGGCCATAGTCAACCACGCTGCCCAGTTGACTTCACACATATCTTTGTATTTCTTCGCCGATATGTGCAGGTTGCATCACGATGCTTTTCTTCAATGTTGGTACGTCGGGTAAATTATGTACATATGAAAATTCGAAAATCGAAAATCTGGTACATGGCGGGATACGAACCAAAGACCTGTACATGTCATTACATGTCAAGTGCATAAACCACTGAGCCACCAACGAGTTTACAGATACACCAGAATACAAAGAAACAACTTAGACTATAGTGAATTAACTTTGTAAAGAATGTAGGACGTAAAAATTTAGACGCAGGAATATCCGCAAAATGAACACAGTATTCAATTAGAATAGTTCTTAGTCATAGATTAAATATTATGTTTTCTTGCTGCTTTTTCAATAACAAATTAATTTAAAGACATGCCTTGACGTCTAAGTACGCTTGAGCTTACAGCCGTCTATGGGATCAATATGCTAATTCAATGATTACGTACCGCTAGCGGTCTGAGAATAACCACGAATGAAGTTTATTATTTATTTATGTAAAATGTGTAATTATTGTCATGTTCCTGTCCGCGGAATTAACTGCAAACTTGGTCAGGTAACGGGCGAGACAGGCTTACCTGTGGATGTTTTCATCGTGTACTATAGATATTAATCCGTTGTCGGTTAGTGAGAATATTTTCGTAAAGTTATCGACAAAAATAGTAGATTTGTGCAGCGCCCTTACATGACGTACAGTACACTAGCAAATTTCATATAAATTTTGTCGATATCGTTGCGAATACCTTCTCGTAACTGTTCATAATAAACCCTTACATAAAAATGTAACAATAGACTTTGTATAAAAACAAAACCGACTTCCAAACAAAATACACGAAAAACAAAACAAAATGCACTAAAAACAAAACAAAATACGCCAAAAACAAAATATTCT